ACATTCGTACGGTTTGCGACTTCCCCGATGTCTTTCCCGAAGACCTACCTGGTTTGCCTCCGCCGAGAGAGGTAGAGTTCTCGATCAATCTCATTCCGGGTACGGAACCCATATCTGCTACACCGTATCGTATAGCACCTGCCGAGATGAAGGAGTTGAAGGCTCAGTTGCAAGAGCTACTGGAAAAGGGATTCATCCGACCTAGCGTTTCCCCATGGGGAGCACCGGTGTTATTTGTTCGGAAGAAAGATGGATCCATGAGACTATGCATCGACTACAGGCAGTTGAACAAAGCCACAGTGAAGAATCGTTATCCGTTGCCTCGCATCGACGACTTGTTCGACCAGCTCAGAGGGGCTACAGTATTCTCGAAGATCGATCTGCGTTCTGGATACCATCAGATTTCCGTTAAGAGAGAAGACATTCCGAAGACTGCTTTTAGGACACGCTATGGGCATTATGAGTTCTCAGTCATGCCTTTCGGATTGACTAATGCCCCGACATTGTTCATGGAGCTTATGAACAGTGTGTTCCGACCATACTTGGACCAGTTCGTAGTAGTGTTCATCGATGACATCTTGGTTTATTCACGGACTCAGGAGGAGCATGCTAGACATTTGCAATTGGTTTTGAGTGTGTTGAGAGAGCACAAGCTGTATGCCAAATTGTCCAAGTGTGAATTCTGGTTGAGTGAGGTGACATTCTTAGGACATGTTATCTCTGCCACCGGTATCCAGGTTGACCCCAGCAAGATTTCAGCCATAGTGGATTAGAAGACTCCGCGGAATGTTCGTGAGGTGAGGAGCTTCCTTGGGTTAGCCGGTTACTATCGTCGATTTGTTAAGGGCTTCGCCTCGATCGCTACTCCATTGAACAAGCTACTGCGTAAGGACATCAAATTCGAGTGGTCAGAAGCGTGCCAGCGCAGTTTTGATCAACTGAAGGAGTGCCTGACCGAGGCACCAGTCTTGATTCAACCTACTCCTGGCATCGAGTATACCATCTATAGTGACGCATCTCATAGCGGCTTAGGTTGTGTACTGATGCAGTTGAGTAAGGTAGTGGCCTACGCATCGAGACAGTTGAAGACTCACGAGGAGAACTACCCGACACATGATTTAGAGTTGGCAGCCGTGGTGTTCGCCTTGAAGATTTGGCGCCACTACATCTTTGGAGAGAGGATTCACATCTTCACCGA